TGAGCGCTTGCATCTTATTAGTATATTCCGTTGGAACTAAAAATATAGACCAAACAGATTCAAGAGCTCACTGAGCGCTCAGTGAGCGGTCGTAGTACTGAATGCACCCATTAGCTACTGGCTACGTTTACACCGTACGTTTAGTCCGCGGCCTATACATCAAATTCGACCTAATTTAGGTCACATTATTTAGGCCGCACGCTGTAAACACTATACCTGACACGACCTGTTGTAGGTCAGGCCGGATTTTTTAGCGCCCTCACCTAAAATAGGTGGTCTATTTTCTCAGTGTAAACGCGCGACTGATCCGATCTAAAAGCTTCGTAGCCATTTGCTTGGTAGGACACTGCTGTTTTGTTGAATAGTTAGGTTAGGTTAAACTGGTTTGTTATTTACTTCTAGACTGTGAAAAGACTAATTGATTTGTGCAAAGAACATAAATATTAAAAAAAAAGATGGGAAAAAGTTCATGCAGCGATTTAAGTTCATAAGTACCAATGCCTTTGCTAATCAAAATAATACAAATAATGGTAATTATTTAGAATACGGGCCTCATCTCCGATTTTGATGAAATTGGGCTCATTCGACGCGTTTTCACTTAAAATGAAAGAATTTGACAAAAATGCAGCGGTCGGTCTCGCGAACGGAGATATTAAGCATTAAAGTTCGAGATTTTAGAGGTTAAGATATCTATCATCCCGACTCAATATAGCGCTAGGTATACGTTCTGGCGAGTATAGTGCTGTATATGGAAATAATCTGTACAAAATACGATAGATGGCTCTAATTCGGACCAGCGTGGACTAAATGTGACCCAACCAATTTTTAAGTCCCTTTCGGTGTAAACGGTTGGTGACTAGACCTACTTTGGGTCACGATATAGGTCATGTCGCTATCAATGGGCTCATTCAGCGGACTCAACAGTTGAGTGAGCGCTCGCTGTTATTGGTGTATTCTTTTAGATCATCCAATCATAATTTTAGATCTAGAAGAATACGTCAATAGCAGCGAACGCTCACTCAACTGTTGAGTCCGCTGAATGCAGCCAATCATACGGTGTAAACATTGAGCGCTCAATGAGCGGTCGTGGTAGAGTGGGTATAAAGAGAGTGACGCCAATTGCCGGATGTCGCCATTTCTAGCAAATAAAGGGTGTCCCAAAATTAACGCAAGATTTGAATTAAATAGAAAACACAGTTTTTAGTCTTTAGATTGTTATTTTTTCATTGAATCATAAAGTACATAGGATAGGGTTATTTATGGAATAACACAATTAACGTGTAACGCTCTCAGCTGTCAAATTGTTCTTTTTTCAGGGTTGTCGACAATTTACTGCAAAAATGGCGGCAAATTCAAATCTTGCGTTAATTTTGGGACACCCTTTATATATATAGCAATACAGATCATGGCCGTGTTCGTATATTATTGCCAATTGTTAGTACAGTACAGTATACGTAACGGGAACTATAGACTTTCAGTACTGACAATCAACTGGCAGTAATATACGAACATGGCCAGGATAGGACCGCCTACCCTGTTGAAAATTCTTGTAAGTTTTTTGTACCAGATCTTAAAAGAGTTGCAGGTGATCAATCAAGATTACTAAATGAACGTACATGATCATATAAGAATCTTATATAATTTGTACGTGAATCTCAGTAATTTTTAATGAGTATTAGGAATCTGGCATGAATCGTTTAAGATGATTTATATCGCAATGAAAAGATCTTGTCTTAACCTTATAAGAAACTTCTAAAAAGTAGTTTCTTTACAGGATCATCTAAGAATATGGTATTAATTATACATGATTCTGAAGTGTTTCATGAAAAAGGTTATTTATCAGTATTAAAAGACATAATTACGGAATATAATTTATTTTTCAAGTTGATATACAAGAATCTGGCATGAATCGTTTAAGATGATTTATATCGCAATGAAGAGATATTGCCTTAACATTATACAAAACTCTTAAAAAATAATTTCTTTATAGGATCATTCAAAAATATAGTACTAATTATGTGTGATTCCTAAGTGTTACATGAAAGATCACGTGTCAGTCTTAAAAAACAAATAGTTGCGAAATAATTTATCTTTCAAGTTGGTACAGGAATCTGGGCATGAATCATACACGACGATTTCTATCACAATGAAAAGATTTTAATTACTTTAGCCAAATAAGATACATTTAAAAAATAATTTCTTTACGTGATCGCTCCATAACAATAAAGGTATCGATCATTCCAGTAATCGAAAAATAGAATTATTAAATGAACAGAAACTGGTTTGAATATATGAAATGAAGAAGAATGAAGAAAAATTAAAAAATTTGTTAGAACACTGAAGATGACTGAATATATTATCACTAGGGCAACCAAAATATGTATAGTGCATGTTTTTTATTTGACTAATAAAGAAATAAACTAAATAAACAAAGGACTCCGCAGTTTTCTTATGGGAAAGTACTTTCGGTCAAAATGGTTGAAAATTTAGTATGTGATAGTTTATGATGTCCTGATCAAAAGTCTCAATGAGCACATGGTCCTAAGATCAACAGGTTCCGAGATATTGGAGCTCAAAGGTCGATATGACTTCATATTGATTATTATGGAAAATAACATGTTGCTACATTGCCTTTTAATATACAGTATAAATATTTCATTTGTATATAAAAAACATAAAGAATGTTTTCATTGTTAGGAATATATTATATGTTTATTAAATACTTATATATATATATATATATGAATAGTAATATAAACATGTATTATACGTTTTATATAATATTATAGTTATTTTTCGATTTTTTTAAACGTTTCTCATCTTTATAACGCACGTCTATACAACATCAAACTAATCGCAAGTACTTTTGCTAGTACAGTACAGCATAATGAAATTGGATCAGTCCAACCGATAAAGACAAGACCGAAAACTCTTTTAGTAAATCAAAGCCTTGAAAAAGACAAATTGAAGCCATTTTGTCCGAAAGTACTTTCCTAAGAAAACTGCGGTAGAAGAGAGAGAAGGAAATGTTTAAATATTGCGCAATGTTAATCCAGTTTCGAAATCGTCAATTCAATTGTCAATAAATGTATTTGTTTTGTAAAAAATAGCATGAATTATTCTTGTCTAAGGAGGTCAAAGATTTCATCGAAAGATCATCATCTGTATTAGATGATTATACAGGTTCTGCCGAATCTGTATCGGAAAGGCTCTCCGTAATATGATCCATTGAATTTGAAGCGCTCGGTACGAATCTGTGTTGAGATACAATGTGATGACAAAAATTTAATAAAGTGATAAAATATTTGGCATTTAATGTTACAATTATATTATTCCATAATTATACGACAGCTATTACTTTTAACAGCTATAGATTTAAATGTAAATAGATTTAAATATACGATCAATATAAGAATTTTCCTGGCGAAACATATTGTACAAAATTCTACAAAAAGATAAGGATATATACTACAAAAAACTTAAAAAAAATTGTCAAAATCTACGAAACTTTACATGAATCAGAAAGATGCTGCAAAAATCTATATAAAAGTGTTAGAATTGAAACACTAATTTTTGTTGATATGTCTATAAAAATGGAATCTTTTTTGGGAACTTAAAACATAATTTGAATTCCAAAAATCCCATAATTATTATACATGGATTATCTAGAAGATATTTCCATGGTCATTTAAAAATAATTATAGTATTCTACGAGTGAGTAAAATGTTTAAGATCTCATTCAATTCAATTTTCAAAATTTGTAAGTTTATTTTTTTTTTAATAATTGTAATTTTTCATGAAATAATACCTTTACATGTTCTTTTTTGATTTTAGAAAATTGTAATTTTAATTCTATTGGGCACATAAAGTTACACGGTAAAGATAAAAATAAATATTTAAATGATAAAAAAGAAAGATTTCTAAGAAAAACACAAATTTCTACATAAGTTTATGCTTGTGTAAATTTTTATGATTATTGATAAAATTTTTTTCGCCAGGGCAATAATTAAATTGAATGTTTGTTGCTTATGTATTGTTTACAGGAATAATCCCTCTACAATTTATTGCTTGATAAGATATTATACTATGTGCAAAATATATGCCAAGTAAGCAAAAAGCATTTTGAAACATTTCAGTTACAACGTTGCTACAACGTTGCTGCAATGTTTCAAAACGTTTCTTGTTTACTAGGTGGTACAAGGTTCATCGTTGTTCTGATTTAATTATAAAATAAAGCGCATAAATATAAACACATTTTTTAAAACATAAAAATGAAAAAGAAGAAAAAGAAATAAAAAAGAACTAAAAAAAAGCTATTACACAAAAAGTATATACATACATGTATGTACATCACGAACAAAAACGAAAATTAAAAGGTACACATATATTAATATAAGTAGAATTAGAAATGAAGCCAAATGCATTGCACATTGCAAGTGAGAAACTACTCATGTATAATAATATTAATAACGAATTTTAAATAAGAAGACAAATTTATACACATTTATTTATGTGCTATTTGTTTATATCTTTTGTAATAATTGTTCATGCGATAGAAAGGTATAAATGTAAATTGCTTTTTTTCTCTTTTAATCTTTCCAATATTTCTTAAACATTCTCTATTCTTCTACTATCGTACATAAACTGTCTAACATGTGCAATCATAATATTTAATTTAGTACATTACTTGTGTTAATATATATATTTCCAAAATTATGAAGAAAGTTATTATAACATCTTACATAAATATTTAACATATGATACCAAATGTAATAATATAATATGACTATAGAAAAGTAATTTTTTGCTCATTATAAGAAGAAATAGTTAAACACTTAATATATGAATATTTCACATATTGCCTTATAGATCATCTTCGTATGGAAAAAGCAATGTTTATTTCGTAAGTTCTATTTACACGTATGTATATATTATGGATATATTTTAACAAACGTAAAATAAATAATTACTCGTTAAGATCTTCTGTTCCTCTTGTTTTTTCATGTAAATTGGTACATGAAAGTACCAGATTTTAAGTTAGATAAGTCTTCTTGATATTTTGCTTTCTTTATAGTCGTATTCCTGTCTGCATCCACATAATTACTGGAATTGTTCTCGTTATCCATGTGATTATCTGAACCGGGACCGAATATCCTACATTTAGATAAGGAGTGATTGAAGAATTGATAAAAAGTATGATTAAAAATTATACAATGTACTACATTGTACGTTACAAAAAACTCAATTATTGCAAAACTGCAAACGGTATTATAAAAACTGCTTATATTATTTAATAGAAGACACTTTTTAGTTTGTATTTATGTTTATGAAGTTGTATTTTTACCTATCGTTTAAGTAATATTGTTTAAAAACTATAGCTTAATTTTACTGATTCTTTCTATACATGGTGAAAGTAAATTCGACACTCTCTCTTTTCTGAGATGCACTTTGTACAAAATAAAACTACAGAATATTTATGTATATATAGTACGAATAGATATGTTTTATATTATATTTGCTGACACGCATATTTGATAAATTCTTTCGACAAATGGATACATTTCTTTGGGTTACATTTTCTCTAGCAAATATTGATTATTTTTTGTTGTAATCAACTTTACATTACTTAGTACGTTTTTAAATTTTTTATATATGAGGTACTTATATATGAGATACTTACTCGTGCTTTATTTTCAAATGTCCTTTCAAATCATAATCTTCCATGTATCTAATTGTTATTTTACATTGTTTACATGTTGCTTCTGTACTGCTTTTTACGCTATAATAGTCCCAAGCCCAATGGAATTTCACTTCATTTTTCTCTTCTTCTGCTAATTTGTCTGGGTGTGACTCTACCAAGTGCTTATGTAAGATAGATAAACGGTGTATTAATATAATGAATATTCTATTACAATGAATGCATAGTGCTTCGTTATTCCTTGTCAATCTAGTGTAATGTCCACGTATCCAGAGCCGAACTGGGACGAAATTGTTTTGTGAATCCCTAAAAGAATAACTTCTAATTGGTTAATTATTATATATGTAATAACTGATGAAACAATAAATGAATGTTACTCATAATAAATAGATTATATTGTATAAATAAAACTGCAGGTTTAATTCGTAAGATTCATTTAAATGTACTTTAGTTAACGTAAAGCGATTATAATTACTCATTAAGTCCTTTTATTCCTTCTGTATATTCGTTTAAACTGTCGGATAAGTTTGTTAAGTTGGATGAAGCTTCTTGACGTTTTACTTTTCTGAGAGTTATATCCTTGTTTGCATTCATGTCATCATCTGAACTGCTTTCGTTATCTATTACGTTATCTGAAGTTGGACCTAATATCCTACATTTATATGTATAAGAAGTTATAAAAAAGACGATATTAAAGTGCTGTAAAGATATTATTTCCAATTACGAACAATATCCAATTATTTAGAAATTTTGAAAATTATCATTTTTAGACTCTTATTACTGGAACATTTAAAAGCGATCAAGATTGTTGGAATCAAGTAGATTCAAATATTTTTAAAAACTGACCATTCCTCGGCAAAAATTAAAGGGATCAAATTTTACTGATTCTTTCTGTACATGGTGAAAGTAAATTCGACTTCTTGGATGGACATTGTACAAATTAAAATTATAGAATATTTATGTATATATAGTACGAATAGATATGTTTTATATTATATTTGCTGACACGCATATTTGACAAATTTTTTCGACAAATGGATACTTTTGATTGGGTTACATTTTCTTTAGCAAATATTGATTATTTTGTTGTAATCAACTTTACATTACTTAGTACGTTTTTAAATTTTTAATTTAACTATATATGATGTACTTATATGTGATACTTACCCGTGCTTTCTTTTTAAATGTCGTTTTAAATCATATACTTTCTTGTATCTCACTGTTGCTTTACATTGTTTACATGTTGCTTCTGTACTGTTTTTTACGTAATAGTCCCAAACCCAATGGAATTTCACTTCATTCTTTTCTTCTTCCGCTAATTTGTCTGGATGTGCCTCAATCAGGTGTTTATGTAAAGTATGTAAGCTGTTTAGATGTATACTCAATTTTTCGTTACAATGATTGCATCTTGCTTCGTTACTCGTCAATTTCGTGTAATGTCCACGGATCCAGCGGCGAGCTGGAATCAAATTGTCTCCTGCTTCTGTCTCTTCCATTATAATCGCTGTGTACGGAAAATTAGTGACTAATCACTGATGGTTCAGAAACGATGTGAAAAAGCGCTTGCAGAAACTATTCTAAAAGTTCAATGACAGTTACGTGTATATGTGATCCTTTAACGGAACATACATAAATATTGATATTTCTAAAATTTGAATCTGTTTTATCACGAGATGTAACAGATCTATATATTTATACAACTCAAATCGTATGTTAATTACAAAATAATTGCATAAAAATCCTCTTACTTCTCTCTACATAATAGTACAATCTTTCGGCGTGTTCCTTTTCCCATCAATAATGCGTTTGATACTGTAACGTGGCATGCTGTGTAAGAGCTCTGTGTCGGTTTGTTTAGAGCCTATACATATTTTTATTTATTATGACTTGTTACTTCCCTCTCTCCAATTCTTCTCAGGTCAACATTAATTTATTATTTTATTAGATCCTTTGGACATACAGGACGTCAAATATGTTCCGTACAGCAGTTACATGTAACTCAAGTAGCACACAGTGCTTGCGAAGCGCTAAAAAGGCAATTATAATATGCGCTTTTTAGCGCTTTATTAACGCTTTGTAAGCGCTGTGTGCTACTTGGGAAATTGTTATTATATCTTTCTATTTATATTTTACATAATTGACATAACATATAATATTTCTTTGTTCTGTAAATTTGGCAATTTTCTGTCGATCTATTTATAGATTTATATATTTGAATACGTAAGCACTATCATTACATATTATCAACAATTTATCAATATGCCTGAAAGTTACCTTAGACTATATATAAACATTTAATATGTTGTAAGACTAATTAGTTGTTAATCCGATAGTTGTACATATATCATGACTTCCTTAATAAATATATTAGACAGTTACAACTTATTATTAATGTACTGAAGAGGACCCGAATAAGGACCGAAATTGTCGTTGTTCTAACGGATAAATTTGTTTATACACCGTTATCCATTTATTTAGACTTGTTGTGGCAATATAATTTCGGTCAAAATCATCATTTCGATGTCGAATGGACATTGATTCGATGAACTATTTCTCGCTGAGACGTATCCGATAATGATAATGTTACTAGTACATGTAAAAAATGCAAGGATTACTTTAAAGTGTAACTTTGAGAAAAATAATCGCAACACACACAGCAGCTTGCATTTTTTTTTTTTTTAATTAAAAGGAAAGTTTCGAACTTTATGACACTACAAACAGCATCTCCCCAAAAATTGTAGCAAATACGTGCATTCTGTTAATCTTGGTAATTTTTAATATAATAAATATGTCCTCATATTTTTAGGGGTTACAGTGGTAAAAAGGCATTAAACTTACCGAGTCACTTATGCACACGCGTATTATAAGACAATATACATTATAAGACAGTATATACTGACAGTATATAAGACGCGTATTATAAGATAATATATACCATTATTATAAGACATATTATTATAAGACAGTATATAAGACATAATTTCATTTAAGAGGAATTTAAACCATTTGGATTGGAATAGGAAGATTCTTCAATAAGTATACGTATACTTAGGTTTCATTGTATAAAAATTAAAGATAGTAGCATTTGGATTAAGTAAATAATAAAGATAGTATCACTTATGTTTTACATTTTATTTTGTAGTAGAATTTAACTTGGCGCCACAGTTGTTGATATCAAATCGTTTGTACAAATAATACATATTAGATTAATATTCATTATTTAATTTATCAAATCTTTTTTACGAATAATACATAAAATTTTGATAAATTTAATTAAATTAACAGAATTTAACTTGGCGCCACAATTGTTGATATCAAATCTTTTATACAGATGAAACATATATATCATTAGATTTAGTAAATTTTGTGATATTGAATTAACAGAATTTAATTTGGCGCCACAATTGTTGATATCAAATCTTTTATACAGATGATACATATATCATTAGATTTAGTAAATTTTGTGATATGATTTTCCGGTTCGTTCAGAATTTCAGAATCGTCTTTATTATTGTTTAGCAAACAACGGAGAACATTTTGAACATTTGTTATAATAAATGATGAATTTTTATGCAGTAACTATGCCTTGCTATTTTCTTAAATATCTCCTAAAATAGTGATCGAACAAAAAAATATTTCCTACAGAAGTTACTTGTTTTTTACGTTA